TTTGTAGTTGCTGAGGAAGTCCCCAGTAAGGGACGAAACGTTCAACAAGGTCATAATAAATTGTTCATCAAATTTATTAAATGACTTTAATTTCCCTTTGAAACTCATATATATTAATATACTGTTGGGACAAGAATATTGATAATTAAGTTAACTTTAATTTTGATATTACCAATTAGATTCTTTTGTATAATAACCGGTCAACAACAAGTCAAAGAAGCCAATCGTGTATAAATGTAAAAGAGAAAAAGAAAGAAAAAGAAAGAAAAAGAAATGTTTCCCACTTGTAGAAAATAACGGAATCCTATCTTTACGTCGAAGTGGATTCATTCGTATAAGTTAACATAGCTAGTCAAAAAATTCCTATTTCTTTTTTTTGTTTTCTCTATTATATCCACTTTGTCAAATAGTCTCGAATTAGACGATAATAATCACGATGACAAGATGTTACTTTCTTTGATTGTTGCATTATTCGATTCTTCTCTTATTTATTTCCATGAAATGTGCGAAATATAATATACGTGTTGTATATATCGAATGTTGCCGACTTGCACATCGTGCTTGCGGTCTTCGGAAAAAACTCGTTCGACTGGTTACAAGTAAAATATACCGCTGGAGAATCTTACCTTCTCGTGACAGTGCTACCGAAGAAATGCAAAAGATCTTTGATCGAGCACGAGACTGCGGGAAACGTCTCCAACATTTGTTCTCCTTTTGCAATATCGTATCACTATAAACATCTTGTATAAACATTCAGAGGGAAAGAGAGAAAGAGAAAGAGAGAGAGAGAGAGTTTGAAATTCAAACATCTTCCTGTACGAATGAAGGTGAGATTAAATATCACGTCATTTATAAAATACTATATTAAAAAATTTCATTGAAATATTAATTGTCATTTTATCACGTTTTATATACATACAGACCTACACACAAATAATATTAAAATTAAAAAAAAAAATTATAATGAAAAATATTAGAATGTGAAAAAAAATGTTTCAGTTTATAACTAAAAAGAATAAACAATTAATAAAGGATTACGACAATTCTCGTCTTTTTTTTTTTTATACGCGTTTATCAACGACTCGACGAATTAATATATAATTTTATTAAAATATATTTAAAAAATGTGGATAAAAGAATCAATGAATATACATAGAGTGTAATAGTTAGGAATTAATAAATGTGAATAAATAAAAATGCTTTGTATTGTGTACTAATATTTTCGGTATGTTTAAAAATTGGCAATCTTCGTAAACACATTGGACACAAACACAACATAATTTAGTAAAATTTACTTAATGGGAGTATTCATTCCACATTCGTTTCTGAATGAAGGTAGTAGAGTCACGATGAAAGTACTACATATACCGATATATATCACGACATACCGGTCCACGATTCACATCCACGAACGCGTGCAAGCAATAGACGCGAAAAGAAGCCTTATCGTAAGATGATTCGAGGAATGGTCGAAGCATCACGTCGGTCAAGCTTGGATGGAACTCGTCGAACAGGTGGAATGACTGGCTACGAGTCCGGCATTAAACGGTTAAATAAATGGCTAAACCTGTCTAAACGTAAACACGGAGTAAATCCCAGACGAAAATCAATCTGTCTAGTGTCTGGAAGAAACTCGTTAATTCTTTTTCCTATGTCATTTTAAATGTTAATTACTTTCTTACTCAAAGGGATAAGAAAAAAAAAAGAATAGCGTAGGCTTCACACACGAAAGTAGTGAAACTCGTATTATCATGTGAAAAATAATCAATTGATTCATACAAGTGTTTCATAAAATCGTACATCGTTACGCTTACTAGATTTTTCCTACAAAACTATTGGTATATTGAGTTTACGCTGAAGAAAATTAAAAAATGAATATATTAGTATATCTTAATTACATATTTAATGAGTTTAACTTGAAAGACTTCATTATAACAAATGAAATGAACAAAGACGAAAATAATACCCTTATCTTAAAATCGTGCATGTTGATATAACTGAAGGAATATCCGGCTTGTTCATGTCTAACAATCTATCATGCTTTGTGTTTTTACTGTTATTTAAATATTTTTTAGTATCATAATCAATTTACAATTAATTAAAGTTAGAATAATACAAAGTACATTTGTTTTAAAATTACATATACTTCGAATATTATACAATTACGATCTGATATTTTATTAAATGAAAATTTTCAACTCAAAGTCATC